CTGCCGCTACCAAATCTGGGAAGCTGAGAATTAACATGCAGCCCAATAGCTCATGAGTATTCACTATTCTCCAATAAGATTCTCTTCTCCATAGGCCTGCATGAGGTCCCCACACCCTCTGTGTCACCTTGAGACCGCAGTCCCATCCTGCTCAATAGCAGTGGCCAGCGTGAGGGAGGTCAACGCAGACAAGCAGCAGCACTGTGTGCCCACTGATCATGTAGAAAAAGTGCTCATCTCAGTTTTGTTTGTCTCCCAGACCTGACCCAGAGGACGGCAAGAGTTTAAAAATGATGGTGGGATGAATAGGCGTGAGGTTGGCCTCAATGGGAAACAAGGCCCTCGAGGACCCTCTCCTCCCCCAATGCCATCTTCAGAAGCATCTCAAGTCAAGTCTCAGTTCTGTACAACCAGGCCGTCCACTCTGGGTCTAGCTACACTGGTCATCACTGCCCCACTTTCTCCAAGAGACAGAGGGCATGCAATTACAGGTGTTTGCTCTGCGCCCTGCATCAGGCCCCACGCAACTGCATCTGGAGACACCTGTACCACTTACAGCAACAGCTGCTCCTCTCTGGGCCACTCTAGCACACAGCATGCTCTGAAGAATCTGGTCTACAGTGCCAGTCCATTATAATAATTTTGAGACAAGTTCTCACTAAGTCACTAAATTCCCCAGGCTTGGCTTGAACTCATAATCCTCCTATCTCAGTCACCGAGGATACTGAGTGCCACCATGCCTAGGTTTGTCTACAACTTTGTGAGGGGATTTTATTGGCCACACACCCACTCCCTACTGACACAGACAGACTTTTTGGTAAAAATTCCACAAACTTACTAGGATATCCTGATGTAAGAAAGAACCAGGGCAGCCCTGCCTCCTAGTCTGATGAACGTAGCCATCCTTCTCAAGATGCCCTGTCCAGTGGGGAAAGATGGAGTCTGCTCTTGGGACAAGGCTGGAGTGGCAATGTGTCCTGAGGCCCAAACCAATCTGCTTTAAGCTCCAACCTCAACCCACACTAACATGGCAAAGTTGGATGAGGCAGGAAACGTTCTGAATCTTGGGGCCCCTGCAACTGAATCTACACAGGGGGAAGCTTTGCCCATGGGGCCTTAGAAAACATCAGCAGTGGTATTCTTGGGGCCTCACCAGCAAACAAAGACTGTGCTCCCCCTGCTGGCCCTGGACAGCAGCGCTAAGGTAGGGAGGCACCCGGGACACTGCTGGCATCTGCACTGAGGCAGGGCCACCGGCGGCGCACCAAGTAGTGGTCCCAGACATTCCTTGGGGCAAACATCCATTGTCATCAACTTCCAATCAAAGTACCAGAAACTCCTGAAATTGGTGACTCAAGGAGACATCCTTATGCTCTGTGACCTCCAAACTGCCAGCTGTGACTGTAACTGTGGTTGGGGATTCATTTTCAATTGACACAGTAGGATCCTCCCAGATTTTGAAGTCCAGATGCAATCTTTAAAGCAGTTCTGGGGGAAAAAAAAAAACCTCAAGTGCAAGCAAAGTTTCTTTTTCTCTCTTTGTTCTTTAAGAGCAGTTTCCAAATGGTAAAGATGTGTGCTGTCTACATCCTTTCCGATCGTGTGGAGCGTTACACTGGATTCTCCAAGGCATTAGCATGCAGAAGAATGACCTCATGGTGAACAGATGCACTGGGCTGTGAGCTGCCCAGATGACGTCAGCCCCTCCCTGCCATGCATGGTGCCGAGTGTTAACCCTTGGCAGGCCGTTCAGCTGCTCCCTTCTTCAGTCACACACACACACACACACACACACACACACACACACACACACACTCGCCTCACCCCTGATGCCCACAGGAGTGGGTTAAATGCACACAGATGTGGATGCACAGAACATACAGATGTGGAATGACAAGTGGTATTTGAACACTGGTTACCTTTTAGATTATTTATTCCTGTCAGTAAGTGATGGAATCAATAAAAGAGGCAAAGCACAGGACTAGTTAAAGAAGCAGCTCAAGCACCTACTATAGGATGGAGGTCCTCAATATGGTAACAGATGACATAGATGCAAGATGGTTGTTTTAAAACAACATGTTCTTTTTTTTTTTTTTGGCAGAACGAGGAGTTGAACTCAGGCCCTTGCACTTGCCAGACAAGTGCTTTACTCTACTGAGCTAGCTCCCTGGCCCCAAAACATGTTCTAATGTGGAAAATGGGTACTTTTTAAAAAGTCCCCTGACAAAAGCTAGCCCTCTGAGCACTAGCCCTGCCTCTCTACCTGTCATCGACAGTGCCAAGGACAGTGTACACTCAGCCCCCAGCCTAGGCACCCTGAGTGGGAAGCAGAGCAGCAGTGTTGCACACTGTCCAGCCATCTATCTGAGCACAAGTCAGTCCCCCAAAGGCTGCCGGGGCTTCCTGGCGAGGGGGGCTGCTCACTGGCTGTGCTACACAGAGTACAGGTGACCCCTCTTCCTTCAACACAAAGTCCTTGTCAGGAGGATGCACAAAGAACCCAGAGCTCCTTGCTCTCCAGACCATGCACACGTCTGTGCCTGTGAGCAGCAGCCGAGGCACTGCAGACCCTGAGGCCAGGGGCAGTCTGACTGCAGCACAGGTGCATGGTGGGAGCTTGAGTGGCCCAGGGTCAATTTTTCCAGTTGGCTCGTTGCTTGGGAAAGCAGGCTACACCTCAGCATCTTAGTTTATGCCAACTAGCTCATTGGGGTTTGACTATACTTGGCCCAGGAAAAGAAAAGACACAAGAAATAGATGACATAGTATTCCCATGTGTAAGAGTAACGGTGGAGGTGAAAGCGCATGAATACAAGGAGAGAACGAGGCTGTGAGGGGTCCTGCAGGCCCCACTAAGATGCCCCACCCTTGCCCAGCCACCCACACTTTCGTTCCAGCTGAGTGTACCTCTCCTTCACTTCAAATCCTTAAGGGTGGCTGTACAAAAAGAACATTGTGCCCAGCTTTAGAGTCACACTCAAGGACAGGCATGTAAGAACTGCATCCTTCAATCCTGAAACCTAAGAATTACACCACTAATTTGTGAAAAGGAAGAAGTAGCATTGGCTTTGATATTTCATGCTTGGTTTATGCTCCTTTTATCAAAGTCCCAGTGCTTACAATGCTGTCAGAATCCTTACTCTGCAAATTTAGAACATATAAACAACTCAAAGAAGTCCATCAACAATCTTATCCAACTGGAGATCACAGGACCTCAAATTTGTGCTGCAGTCTCACAAAGGTACACACTGGCTCATATAGATGAGTTTAAATAATTATGAACTACTAAAATTTCTGTATTGACAGCCTAACATATATAAATGAAGCAGAGCTCCTCATTATTTCCAAAACATCTGAAATCAACAATCTTAAGCTTATAACAGTTAAGGAATGTAAGCATCTAAGTATCATTTAATTTCTCCTTTAATTTTAAGAAATAAAATATTTTCTTCAGAGTTAAAAAAAAAAAAAAGACAGCACCTCCCCAATACACAAAAAAAATCAAGTTCCAGTATCCATGAAGTGGGAAAAATCTGAATGAGATCTTTAAAAAAATCATCTTCCTACAGACTCTTCCTGCTCTTTCAGTGAGAAATTTGAAGCCATTTTAAATCTCTGGCCAGACTGGGTATGAAATCTTCATTTCCCTTGACACAGATTTTTTTTTTTTTTTTGGTCTTAGATAGAATATTGGCAGAGTGTATAAAAGAATTCAATTCACAGCTGTTCTACTTTTTAATGTAAGAAATGTTAATCAAAGCTTGAAGTCATAAGCTTTTCTCATGTTGTTTAGTATTCCAGTTCAGCAGAGATCAATAGAGACCATCGCTGTGTTCCTGACGCCTCCCCAGGAAGCGCGCGATTATGTAAATCGCCTCCCACCTCTGCCAGGCTCTTATCTCCAGAGCCTTCTGCCTGCTGCTCTGCTCGCGGCCAGCACAGGCCTCTCCTCTTATCTCCACACAAAGCTTGGAGGCCAGGACCGCAGCCAGCGATGTTAAACAATGATGCATGGCTGATTTTATTTGGAAGTGATTTATTTCAGTGAATTTAATTTTTTTCACTTCATGTGTAAGATATTTGTTAACAAGTCAGGATGGGAGAAGGAAGGCAGTGTTTGGAGACAATCGATCCAGGTTAGAAATCTATTAGCACTCTCAGTCCTGTGGAAATGGGGAAGATGAAGGAGGATTTCAACACGTGTTAACTAAATATCCCATTTACTCTCTGAAAGGCAATTAATCTGTAACTACATGCAGAAATTTGCAAGAAATAATTCTATTCTTTGAAAAACACAGTAATCATATCATCAGGTTGAGTGGCAGTGGATCTTTTTTTTTTTTCAAATTAAAAAATAGAAAAAGAATAAGCATCTAAAAACAAGAAAACCCATGGAAATATTTGCAATTTTCCGCTGGCCTAATAAATGACAATGAGTGGGAGCCAGAGTTGAAGCGGGCTCCATGCCAGGTGCGGCTCGGCCGGCGGCTCGTCCACATGGCACTGGCCACTCTAGAGAGGCGCGCACTGTGCGGTAATGACGGGCCCGGGGACACTGTCCCCCCGTGTCTCCTGTGTTAATCCCTGACCCCAGTATCGTGGCTGCATAATCCCCATTTAGCATTAGTAGCAACGGCTTCGACTGTGAGGAACTCCTTTTTGATAAGTAAGCACTGATTCGGGCATCGCTTTTAAACAACATATTCCCAGCTCAGCAAGAAGCCTGCGCTCCTGAATGAACCAGGGCACATTACTGAGAAAAAGTTCATTAACCTTGCTAGATTTGGGGGTTAACAGGATAGCTGAAGAAAGGAACTGAGAGAACAGCACGGATACAAAACAAATTAAAATGAATGTCATCGTTCCTTTTGATATTCATTAGTTGATTCAGAGGGAGAATGCTCTTCTTAAATTTGCAAGCATTTATCTGTGAAAAACAGGTGTACATCTGCTACTCGAATGAGTCTCAAGCATGAGAGGAGAAGAATGCAGACACTCACCAGTTCCGCTGAGGGAGTAGCTGGGCGAGGGCGAGAAGACTTGGGCTGCAAAATCCTCGAACGTCATCACTTCGCGATGGTTCTGAATTATTGCTTCGAGATACAGCGCTCGTTCTTCATAGCTGGAGCCGTCAGTTAAGGAGACACACGCATGTGCCACCCGGCATGCTTGGCAGGGGCCACTTACTCTGTTTAAAATACAGTTACGCAACTTCCATGTCTGCGTGCAAAACAGAATACTGCAAGTTCTTTAGCATTTTGTCAGCAAGTTAAGTATTCATCCTAATTAATAACAAGAGTCTGCTGCTGAGATCCAAGTTTCTCTTAGACGTCAAGTGCATTCAACACTAGCATTACTAAAAAAGAGCAAGCCAACAGTTACAGAATTACACCGAAACATTAAGGTTGATTGAAGCAAACAAAAACAAGAGATGTGGATGGCAATGGTGTCTCCTTTCACCGGCAAGTGAGTGACAGCCTGGATGTTCACTTTCCATTTGGGTGGAGAAACTATTTTTCTGAGTACTGACATCATGGGCTGATCCTTCAAGCAGACCTTGGTGACATAAGGGTGAACACATCTTTTAAAAAATAAGGAAATGCAAGTTATCAAGAAAAGACCCTGGCAAAGGCATACTCTCCAGGGGCATCAGAGACTCCAACCAAGAGAAGCTACGAGCAAGGAGGATAAGAACTCATTGGTAGGAGAATCTAAGAAGAGTGTAGAACACAACTAGAAAGAACAAAAGATTATTGGCTCCTAATTAAAACTGCAGTCTGGAACACACAGCATTCGAATGTGTAATCAAAAGCCAGTCACCAATAAAACTTACAAGCGTAACACGCTGAAGCAACTTTCCAGCTGTCTTAATAGGACCCCTGCGTGTGGCAGCCTTTCACAGGGCAGAAAGCAAATCTTCCCCTTTTGTGTGTGGCTTCTGTTCCTGGGAAGGTGACTCATGCGCTCCCAACACCAGGGCAACATCAGAACCACCCAACAATGCACGGCAGCAGCACGTAAGACTTCATGAGTTAACACCGGGCGGGTCGGTGTGATGCTGCTTTCTGCCATTTTCTGTTACGGGTGCCAAAGTTAAAAGGCACGTCACAGTCAGTTTGAAAGCTGGATGGATTCTCCAGGAACAGCGGGAATGAGGCCAGCCTTAGTCTGTTACTCACTAGTAATCTTAGTATTTCTCACTATCTGTTAAAACTTTTCAAAATGGCCTCTTGAACAATATAAGTTGGTGACATGTTCTTTCAACAGAGCCTTAGTTTCAAAATAAACAGATTTTTGCCATTTTCTTTTAGCAAAGTAGGCACCCTGGTTTCCAAATGCAGGCTCTTCCTCTGCCTCCTCCCCTTGTGTTCAGAGGATGACTTCACACCATGGGTGATCAGAGCAATCTAGTGAGTCATGTGTTGCATGTAGCTGTCTACATTTAATTTTTAATTAAAAATTTAAAAACTTGGTTCCTCTACCCTACTCACTCTATTTTAAGTGATCAGCACTGCATTAGGCCAGGGGTTGCAGGATTGGTGGCCCAGAAAGAGGATAGGTTCATCACCATGGTGAGCTATACTAACTCAGGATGGGAACTCTCCTTAATCTTGCTGGATGCAACTTAAAAAAAAAAAAAAAAAAAAAAAAGATGAACATAGGCTTGAAGAGCTCAGAAGCAGCCCTGGGATGATTTATGAGCTTTCCTATAGACAGAGGCCAGGGCAGCCTGTGCACGCCCGGCTCCACGGCTGAGACTGAACTCCTGGTGAACGCCTTAATGAACAGCCTGCCAAACTTCCTTGGTGCGCAATGCCTGCTCAGGCCCAATTCTAGGGGGACCCACTAATGCCATTCATGTCTCATTATGAACATGCTTATTCTGCACAGCACTTTGGCTGTCGCTGTGCTCAGAGGGCCGAGCATGGCCCCAGCAAGCCGCTGGTCAGGAACAGCAGGACGTTAGGCCTGAGTGGCCGTCTGGCGAACAGGCACTCTGACAGTAAGCTGGCACGTGCTGGCCCAGCAGGGGCCAAGCGAGGCGTGACAAATTACTCAAAGAGCTGAGCTAAACTTATGGCTGACAACCACCTGAGCCTTCGGGACTGCCGCGGCCCGCTGTCAACACTCAATTCATAGCTTCCCCCTTCAGCCCACAGTCTGCCCATGGGCCTGCGCTGGAGCAGGCGTGACACTCAAAGACCTCTCATGCTCTACCTCAAGAGTGAGCCCAGTCAAACCTACTGAGGGGTGCTGTGCACTATGCCACAGGGACTGAGCTCTTGGCTCCAGATGATACCATCCCAGACGGCTGGGCTCCCAGGAAGAAACCCTGCATTAACAGTCACAGGAGGCAATCGCCGAGTTCTGAGAGTCTGACTCCTCTGCTAAGGCACGATGGCAGCCACAGAAAAAGGAGGGGGGTCTCAGCTCACAGAAGCATTCATGCCCTGGTCTGTCACGTGCTGCACGCGCCCCAACTGTGTGTTAGTGGTGCTAAACTTGGTGTTGTCATCTAGACAAACAGCCTTTAGGGGTTGGAGTGAGACCAGGGCTCATCAGGTGCACCTAGGCCAGGGCATGTAAGCACTGTGACAAAGAGCAACAAACAGCACCCTTCGCTGGCAGTGTTCATATGCAGCCAACAAACGGATGGGTGCCAAAAATCATTTCTCCGAGCAGCCTTACAAAATGCAGCCCACGACAGAATCTATTAGAACCAGCAGCAGGGCCATTTGGAGCAGTATTGGCTGATGTTTTCTTCCCTAACACCCTAGGGCTTTGGTGCAGGCTGCTCTCCACAAAGGAGGATATTATAACGTAGATATCAGGACTCCTGGAAGTCTGCTGCACACGTACGTCACCTCCAAATGCGGACTGAACACCGAGCTGACACCTAGCACTGGGTGGACACAGACCTCTGCCTAAGTGGGTGGCAAAGGAAGCCCTGCGCATGGATCGGGTGGACCCCCTTTCAGTAGCAGCTCCTGCCTTTTTGTTCTATCAAAGAGCCCAGGAGCAAATGTACTTTACCCTGCTCTGAATCACCTTCTCACTAAAAAAGAACACTTCATAAAGGAGTTCCCTGCTTCATTACTGAAATCTGAGAACATTCACATTATCTAACAGAACTCTCCACAGTATAGTTTTGAGTGCTAGAAGGGGCACTGTCTGTCGGAACTTGCTCGGTGCTTAGCATTCATTCTTCGCCGTGACTGCAGAGGCTGTGAGCCTGCAGTGGCTCCATGCCACCAAAACCTTCTAAGAGAACTTTCCAAGACAGTTGGTGCACGCTCTGCTGCATCTGATGAGTTTAAAAGCCTGAGATCCAAACCTGTCCCCCCAATTTTACTCCATTAATTTTTAGAAAGGATAGTAACAGCCTGCCAGGAAGGAGCTACATTTTGGTAGGGGAAAGGCCTGGGTTTGAATTCTGGCCCTCTGCCAGAATGGCAGGCAGGCAAACCACTCCACTGCCCAGGGGAAAGCTTGGTCAGCAACCTTTCTCTCAACAAGGCCCACCTGGCCAGGCCTATGGTCTTTACCTCACTGATCAGGAAACAGCTCAGAGTCCAGAGGTGTCTCTCGGGTCCCAGTCAGACCCTAAAGAAACTAAAATGAAAGCTCACAGGAACTAAAGATGAGAACTCAGATCTCCTGACCTTTCCCGCTTCTGCCAAAGAGAATTGAAAGCACATAGGGTTAAATTCAAAGCCTCACCAAGGCTGGAACTACCTTCCAAAGAATGGCAAACCAGCAGACCGTGGAGGCTGTAAACACCAAGTTGCACCTTAAATTCAAGGACTTACAGTCAAGCTGCACCTCTGCCCCAGACCATGCTGACTTCATAAAGCACAGAGAAGCCAGTAGTCACCCTACTGCATCTCTCTCTAGTTATTCAGGCTATGCACTGCTTGCTTGTTTTTTGGCATCTTGACCTTTTACCTTGGAATGACTTGAGAACTCTATCTCAGAATACGTTTTGTCAAAGAAGAAAAAGTACTTTGGGAGAGGCAATACTACACATTGCAGTGTATTCAACCCTTGAAATGTATTGCCTGGGCCACCTCTACATTTTTCAATGTTGGACAGGATACGTGATGACACAGTGGCCTCAATGGAGGGCAGCACCCTGATGTCAGGGTATGTATTGTACCCCTTCATACATGGATTGCTTGTTTTCTCTCCTAATCCCTGCAACTCCATTTCAGACACTGGCAAGCCCATGGTGAACCATCCTCATGATTCTCCTGTCTGCTCATCCACAGCACAGGGGAAGGACCCATGGTTCAGAACTGCTGCAAGGCAGCCAAACTGCATGCCTATCTGCAAAGTGCCAGCACCGAGCATCTGCAGACACAGAATATTGGGCATGGAAAGGCTCAGGGAGGACCCTGCCTCACCTCGTCCTAAAATGTCTAAGCTGGTTGTCTGTGGCTGACGTAAATGAGCACAAACAGGTTGCTTTGGAGCTCTTTTGCTCTCCCTGGCTGGGAAGTCAGGGCTCCCAAGCAGCAGGGCAACAGCGGAGATTCTGTTCTTGCTCCTTTTAGCTCTGGTGGCTTCCTCCTTTCCCCACAGTCACATGTCCTTGGATACCTGCCCACCTAGATGACCTGGATGATCTCACCTGGAGATCCTTATCTAAAGACTGGGATGTGGACACATTTTGGGGCCACCATTTAGCACACTGTACTTGAGGATGCTGTATGAGGCAGGCCCATCCTATGGTACTCGTTCTAGGCAGCTTGTGGCACAGTACACAAAACAGTATGTTCTGAGTGGATAAGCGAATGTCCAGGATTTGTGCCCACTGCTTTGGGCCCTGAGATCCTGAAATATAGCCTAGGCAAAGGCAACTTGCAAGGAAAGGTTGGAGAGTTTTCAACTTGAAGTGAATTTCTCCATAGAAAATAAAATCAGTGCCATAAAACTTTCAGAAGAATGTATGGGTAAGTTCTTATGACTCTAGAAAAGGGACTTATCCAGCAGGAAACCAAAATCAGGACTGATGAGGAAGAGTGGTTCATACTGACCTCCTTTGCATGAAGATCTACTATTCCCCACACCTGGAAAGGGAAAGGCAGAGGCACAGAGTGGAGACAGAGGGCAGGTGCAGGA